CGTGGAAATGTTCCACAATGTCAAGCCAGCATATTATATGGAAATATCCTGAATATTATAAGAATCTTAGGAAGTTTAAAGAATACATCAACAAGTCTGGGGAAGGGGCGCCTGGGTGGCTCAGTCAATTGAGCATCTGACTCTTGATCTCAGCTTGGGTCTCTATCTCAGGGTTGTGGGTTCGGGTCCCATGATGGGCTCCATGTGAAGCATGGAGTCTACTTAAAAACAAACAAACAGACAAACAAAACATCTGGCAAAGATGCATTGACTGAGGAGTCAGACTTGATAAAGTGGATTTTTTCCCTCAAATTACTCCCCTTTTCATCCTTTGGTTTCCTTATGTATAAAATATGGATGTTATGTTCACATCTGCCTCCGGGATATGCTGTGAGAACTGAGAATTTCTCGCTGTGGCATAAAAGTACTTTTGGCTGTTGTGTTGTTTTGTGTCTATTTAACGTCTTGAGTATCAGTATAAGAAGAGGTGGGTTTTCTCCCAAGGCTAAAGCCGCTGAGGTAAAGGGCTTCTCACTTTCTTGGCATCTTCAAAGGCTGGACGAGTTCTTTATGGGGGAAGCAGGAAGGGGCAGCATGGTCACAACCTGGGGGTCACACTCCACGTCCTGGTGGCTGCCGTGGCTTTGGAGCAGGGTAGGCACACTGTTAACATTTCCTTCACCAATGTTGGGTCTTGGCAACCAGCAGCCCCTGCTGGTCCATTGAGCTCCTGACTCTCCCTGGGTCTCCAAGGACTGAAGCTGGGGAAGAGAGCGCTGGAGTTAATAAGTCTTGGCTGAGTCAGACCAGCTGCAGCAGCTTCAGCTGGGGTGGGAGGGAGATGAGGAAGGGAGGCAGGGGTGAACAGGCCTGGGAAGGTCAAGGCTAAAGTTCTCCAGGGTTGTCCCTTGGGCAAGGAGCATCTCGGGGGCCCAGGAAATTGTGGCAAACATCAGAGAGCCAGCATCACTAATAGGGAGCCACTAAATTGAAAAACAACTTCCACTTATTTTAATATTTTATTCATATTTAAAAATAATTGTAAAGAACCACACTCGAGGAAAGACTGAATTATCTTTCTAATCTCTCAATAGAAAATAATATTTAAAAATCTTGGTCGTATTAAGAAGTCATCAAAAAGTATGTAAGAAAAAGAATTTTAGGCTATTTCAGTTAATAATAAAGATAATACCATGATTTTTCCCCTGTGTTTTTAATGTGTGGTATTTGCCAGCCCTTTGTGATTGATGGTTCTAAAAAACATTCAGTTCTGTATTCACAATTCTGCATCTTTTTGCATAAAATTCAAATGGTATAAATGTTAGTCTCGCAAAACCTGGAAACATCTGGATATAATATCATTTCAATGTGGAGGGAACAACTAGTCTATAAAAACCCAAATCTGGAGTTTTTACTGTCACCCCTGGAACACCTGAGAGACCAAAAGCCTTGGTCAGGGGAAAGGAGTGGAAGTGATGCGGAGGCCCAGACGTCCATGAACCAGAATAAACTCTGCTCTGTCCGGGGGCGTGGAGTTCACAGCACGGACAGGTCACGGCGAGTTTCTGTCTTCTAAGAGCGGTGGGAAACCATGAGCAAGATTTAAGCAGGGGAGAAAGATTTAGGATGAGGAGGCAAGTGTGTGAGCAGGGAGACCACTTAGCAGGGGGGAAATGGTGATGCCGTGCACCAAAGTAATGGTTCTTCAGGACGCGCGTGCTCTGTGTCAGCAGGTAGAATCATCCGGAGTGCTTCCGGGCATCCTAAGTGTGCAAGGAGCCACAGGTACCCTGGCTTCCCCAGCAATCCCTGCTCAGTCAGTTGACTCCAAGTGCTATTAAAAAAAAAAAAAACCTGGGGGAGGGGGACTTCTCGCATCCTCTCAGCTTTCTAATTAATCATTTAGGTGGGAAACCAAAGCCTACTCAGGTAAAAAGATACGTGAACTCCAGGTCAGGATCACAATCCTGCCCTAAATATATGACATTCTTTCCCCTGCAAAACGGCAGGGGAGAGAGGGCTGGGTAAAAACAAATTATTGTCATTCAGTCACTGTTTCCTAGCAACCAAAAAAAAAAAAAAAAGAAGAAGAAGAAGAAGAAGAAGCCTGTGCTTTCCTGATGTCTGGCGAGCACCAGCCCAGGCCCATGACGTTAGGTGCTCCAGCACGCCTCCAGAAGCAGGGAGAGAAGAAAAGCTCCGAAATCGATCTCTGGTTGGTGAGAGATTCTGAAAGGGGAATTTGTTAAGAGCTGGGCACCTAATAGAACACCATCTGAGAATCCTGTATCATAGAGGTAGGGGTGCAGAGAGGGGATCTGCGTGGAGTGTGCAGGTAATTCAGGGTATGATATGCTTATATAGCAAGGCTGTGACTTCTGGGGGGTTGGTTTCTATGAAACTGCTAATGCCTGAGACAGCTGACATCTTTCCATTAGCTCTTTTGTGTGTATTTCCAGCCGGAGTCTTCTTTTGTTGTTGTTGTTGTTAAACCTCTAGAGACAGAAAAGAAGAGGGACTGGCTGAATTCACATTTAAACTAAATCGTCTGTGCAAATGGCCCCCTTTCAACCAGGCAGAGCTCCTCAGTGCATGTAAGTCACTGAACTCTACTGTGAGAAGGGACCTCTCCAATCATGCAATGACTGTTTTACAGAAGAGAAAACACAAAACCACAGAGAGACAAATTCATTTATCCAAGGTGACACAGCTGGTGGATAGGCTTACTGGGTCTTTGGGCATCCTGAGGGTAGGACATGATCATATTTTTAAGATTTCCACCTTTGTTATATTATGCTACATTGAATGGTGGTCAGGGAGGGTGGTCTAAGAGGAAGCTGTCACAGTGGCCAAGAGATGCATATTTTATTCTTTGCAAGTCTGAAAATCAAAGGGTTGCCTCGGAATCACGAACAAGCATGGGTTAAAGCAAATGCTAAGGGGCGCCTGGGTGGCTCAGTGGGTTAAGCCACTGCCTTCGGCTCAGGTCATGATCTCAGGGTCCTGGGATCGAGTCCCGCATCGGGCTCTCTGCTCAGCAGGGAGCCTGCTTCCCTCTCTCTCTCTCTCTCTCTGCCTGCCTCTCTGTCTACTTGTGATCTCTCTCTGTCAAATCAATAAATAAAATCTAAAAAAAAAAAAAAAAAGCAAATGCTAAGTTTTTTTGCTTTTTAAAAAGGCATCAAAGTTAAGGGAGCCAAACCACCCCCTTATTAAGGAATTGAGAGAAGACAAATGTTCTACCAACAACTGCTTTTCTAACTTAGTAAAGTAGAAGAATCACAGTGCTAGCCTTTAGGAAGTTTCAAGTGCTAGGGTGTTCTTGACGACATGAGCCACGCTCATCATTTTTTAGACAACACCCGAAACTGGGATGCAGAAGAGCCAAGAGACGTGGCCACAGCCACACCAGTCAGTCAGTAGTGGAGTGGACACCACATCTCAGCATCTGGCCTCCCCAGTCCAGTGCTTTTCCTTCGAGGTTATGAGGTCCCCTCTGTGGCTTGTAGTATTCTCTCCCAATGGACTCTCCCATAGAGAGCTATATTACTAGCTTTGTAGTTCATGCACTTCCCATGGAATGCCCTTACTTTGCACCCCCCATCTTCATCTTTTCCACATCCCATCCAAGACTGAAGCAGATGTAGCAGCAGCACGAATGGTGCAAAATAATGAAATGAGTCTGGTGAAGAATTCACTTAAATTAATGACACCCTGTTTTCTCTCTGCTTATTGTTGGTAAGTTGAATCATGTAAAGCTTAGTGTTTATAGACTGCAATTTTTTTCAAAAGTTTCTGAAGTTTTATTTATCCCAACCACGTTTACAGTAGTGATTTAAAAACACATGCACAATTTCAAAAGTACAGAAGGTAATATAATGAACATCTGTGGATTTATGTTCCCAGAGTCAACAAATTTTAATTGTTTTATATTTGTGTATTAGGGCTCTTCAGAGAAACAGCAAATATATGTATATATGTGTATACATGCTCAGAGAGAGATTTAGTTTAAGGAATTGGCTCACAAGATTGCAGTGCCTTGGCCTGTCCAAAAATTGGAAGGGGTAAGCTGGCAGGCTGGAGACTCAGGATGAGGTTCACCTGGCAGAATTCATTCTTGCTTGGGAAAAGTCGATCTTTCTTCTATTCAAGCCTTCAAGTGATTGGATGAAGCCCACCCACATAAAAGGGGTGATATGCCCTACTCAAAGTTCACTGATTTAAATGTCAATCTCATCCAAAAAACACCTTCACAGAAACACCCGGAATAATTTTTGACCAAATCTTTGGGCACAGTGGCCTAGCCAAGTTGACATATAAAATCAACCATCACAATTTGCTTTTGATCTTGTTTCAGGAAGAAAACATTGCAGACATAGTTGATAACCTACTTATACCTTTACTGGGCACCCAGTTGAAAAGCGGTGATTTTTCTTTTTTTCCCATAGACTCCTTTTTGTGACTTCAAACCCCTTTTGACCCCATTATCTAAATTCCAATTTCTGGTTCAATGTGGGGGTAAGAATTGCAGACATGGCTTTGTATTTTCCATGGTGACATGTTCTTTCCAGAACTTTCTGGCCCCAGGAAGTTGTACATGGGTTCTACAGAAAATTCCATTATGAGCTCTTGTGCCAAGGTAGATTCACTGGGAGTCACTGTTGAATGCACACAGAACTCACATACTCAGATCACAGCATATTTGGATGCTTCTGTCCTAACAGTCTCGCTTACATGAGCCATGACTGTTTGACTTGCTAGTTTATTGCAAGTTGGGAAACTTGGAAAGAATAAGGGGTGTCAGACAAACTCAAGGTACAGTGCACTACCTTCCCACCCCCCACCCCCCCAGCTGGTTTAATTCTCACCTGATCTCACCTGCTGGATAAGAGGTTTGAGCTCTGCACGCTCCCGGATCCCTTCCAGAGCCTAGGACTCCATGACTGGTATTCGGAGTGATAGCATACCTAACTCAAATTCTCTCTGATTTGCTGCTGTAGCTTATAGGCTCAGAGAGTCTGGGTCTTCCCTGAGGATATCAGGTGCAGTGTAAGCTACAGATACCTGCTCAGCTGGACAAGACTTTAATCATGGAGAGAAAGCTCCTAAAGAAGGAAATTCAAAAGCTCCTGTAAGTATGACTGAGAATAAACTTTTGTTTATTACACTTGGCCTTTGGTGGGTTTCAAGTCATAGATGGTCTGGATATTGGCCAGAGATGGGGGTAGGTAAAAATCTGAGGAAGAATCTATTCCTGTGCTGTAGGAGAAAGCCAGAGGATGTAGCCTCTGCCTCCTGCCTGAGAGGCCTCACATGTGGAGCAAAGAGGATGCTGACTCTCTTGGGAGGATGTTTCTGCCAGCATCATGCATATCGGAGGCATCCCCATTCTAGAGCCGAACAGCTGAGCCCCCAGCCCAGGCTGCCTGTACCGGTCAGAATATGCCTTTAAAAGGGCCCTGCTGGTAAAAAGATATAGCAGAGATTTCTGCAAAACGTACCCAGGGGCCCAGCATTTCAACTGCAGCCTCTCCCTCTATTATTGTCAGTCTTACCGACTACAAAATTCGTCTCCTTTTTCTTGACATGTGAAATTTAAAAAAAAATAAAAAATAAAAAACAAAAGAGATGTCAAGTTTTCCCCTGGAAAAAAATTTTTTCTCCTGTGGGAGTTTTCTTTCTTTCTTTTTTTTTTTTAATATTTTATTTATTTATTTAATAGACAGAGATTACAAGTAGGCAGAGAGGCAGGCAGGGAGAGAGGAGGAAGCAGGCTCCCCGCTGAGCAGAGAACCCAATGTGGGGCTCGATCCCAGGACCCTGAGATCATGACCTGAGCCGAAGGCAGAGGCCTTAACCCACTGAGCCACCCAGGCGCCCCTGTGTTAGCTTTTCTGTGACTTGGTACTTTTTTAAGAGGTTGGTGAAAATCACAGAGCACATAAAAAGCAGGGGAAAGACTATTTCTTATACATTACAGGTGCAACAATAATGTCCTTTTTATCAAAGACCTTCTCACAGTTCCCACCAAATGTACTTTCTCTGCCTACTATGATAATTATTTTTTACTAAGTCCTTAAAAAATGTTGGAATAAAACATGTGTGACTTTACACATATTTACATGTATGTGTTTGGAGGCTGATATAATAGTTTTAAAAAATGTTATCAGAAAATGTCAATTCCTCCACATAGAATTGGAATTATTTTATATCCAAAGAATACATTTAAGCTACTTTAAATAGAGTATCTTGGGATTAGAAAGCAAAACCTGAGAATTTTTATTGATTTTAGTTTAATGACTCAGAAGAGCTTTTGGGAAACAGATACAAACTGACTCCCCCAGCCCCCAGCCCCTCCACCCTGGCAATGGCTTGCCCAAAGTGCATGGTAAAGACCTTGAAAACAGAACTGGCCTTTTGTCCAAGGGTTGATCTGTGCAGATGGACCCTGGGGACCCAGAATCCTTTTTTCTTCATCGGATCCCTCTTCCTCTTCGTGACCTCCCCCTGGGGTAGCCCCCTGTCTATTCTCCTGCCAGGGCCGCTAGGAAAGGATTCCACAGGACACACTAAAGTGGACTTCCTGGTATGGTTTTATGCATAACTCCTCCTCAAGGTATTTGCATTCTAATGGGGGGAAGAGGCCTTAGGGTAAGAGAATACATCCGTATAGAACATTATATAGCTGGAATTTTTCAACTTTGGTCATTCTGCCTGAGTTTAACATGGGCAGCAAAGGAATCTTTGTTTTAAACGGTGGGTCTCAATCCTTTTGTTTTTTTTGCAAAATCTTTCCTGAGTGTGGGACATGTCATGCCCCCTCTGCTTTCCTACCAATTCTGTACCGACCACGTGAGTATTTATTTTTAGATAAACATGATGGAAGCTCATAGTGGTTAAATGTTTTAAACCTATACCATTGCAGGATTGCTATTTAAATAAAAATGAGTATCAGTTGAGCTACCAGAACCACCAGTGACTTTGTATTTTGGTGGAGGAGGGAGGGACTGGGAAGAAGGCTCTTCTGCAAATGGAGATCCCCTCTCATTCCCAATGGTTCAATGCTGCTCTCTTGCTTTTAAGGGGAGATTATATTGGCATCAGACTTCGGGAAAATGAATTTGACCCAAAAGGAAGAAGGCAACTCACCTTTCTAGATGATATGGTAAAGAAAGGCATGCCAATGCAAGTCACATTTGTGTTCTTTGTGTTCAGGGGATGGAACAAGGATCTGATGTAGATCATGAACAAGGCTAATCTCGATCCTTCCAGAATGTCTCTTCTTCATCTTCTCATCCTAGGGCCCTCCACATAGTCTTCTCAACTCATTACACTGAAAACAAAAGGAATGAGAAAATAAAAGTCATGAGACTTCTGCTATTTGCTCTTTCTCTCTTAGAGTGCAAGGTTAAATGTTAGATACATGATGTTAAAAATGTTTTGACAAAATGAGTTCTGTAGTTCTCTACTATAATAAATGTTTTCTTTTGTTTTTAACATTTGCATTCATGGAGAAAACCACAGAATTGAATAATCTTAAAATACCTCATCATTATTCACGTTGAAACTCAGATTCATGTTAGTTAATGAAAGTTCACTTCACAGACATTAAGGAAGAAATGTAAATATCTAATTCAAAAGAAATTAGGAAACCCTCAGCTTTTTTATGCTTACCTGTTTACTCCTCTTGCACTAAGAAAGAGGGCTCGCTCCCTGCCCCTCCCCCTCTCCCTGTCTGACCTCCCTGGAGCTCAGCCTTGGGAGTTCAGCCTTGGGTTTCTCAAGTGCTTCCCCCTGCACATGTTAAATGGAGAAACTAAATCAATTAAATATGTGCTTCTCAAGCTTTAATGAGGTCTTATTTGATTTGGGAGATACGGGTGGGGCTGGAATTTGCACTTGTGATGAGCAAACAGGTGATACCAAGGCTGCTGGTCCAGGATCCAACCTTTGGATTAGGTTTCAACCACTGACCACAGTTCTTTTTGTTGTTGTTCACACTCTAGTTTGGTTTAGTCATTGAAAGAAATAAGTACAGTTGACCCTTGAAAACATGGATTTGGACTGTATGGGTCCACTTATATGTGGAATTTTTTTAAATAAATACAGTACAGTACTGTAAATGCATTTTCTCTTATTATTTTCTTAATAATGTTTTCTTTTCTCTAGCTTACTTTATTTTAAGAATGCAATATATAATATATATATAACATATACATTATGTATTAATCGACAGTTTATGTTACGGGTAAGGCTCCTAGTGAATAGCAGGCTGTTAGTAGTTAAGTTTTGGGAGAGTCAAAAGTTATAAAAGGATTTTAGGTTGCAGGCGTCAGTGCTTCTAGCCCCTGGGTGTTCAAGGGTCAACTGTACATTGTACAGAAAATGTTAGCACCTTCGAACCCTTCTAAAACCTCCAAGACAAAACTAACCTTCCCTTTTCTGGAGGTGGGGATAGAGAGGAGAGAGGGGATTTTGACAAGGACAAGGTAAATATGCTTAGAACTTACCAGAAAGATGGTCAGTAGGATAGGAATGAACATTCGAATTGGTCCTCAGCTTTTACTGTACACAAAACTCTCGGCAAGCCACTCAATTGGGTCTACCTCCAGTCCTTTACTCACGCTGGCCCCTCCACCCAGGACGTCCTTCTCCATCTATAGAAATTCTCCTCATCCTGTTCTCCAAGCTCCAGCTCCACCAAAAGCCTCCTAATCTCCCCCTGACTCCCCTGTGCTCCTGGAAGCACATTCCTGACGTTCTGCTCACAGAATTGAAAATCATTCTTTGTGGCCCTCTTCCCTCACCTTCATTTTTGAGGCCCTGAGAGCATCAGTTTCTTATCCAAGGTTATACAGTGAGTTGTTGGCAATATCTAGATTTGAATCTAGATTCCCTGACTCCTAGGTTTTTTTTTTTTTTTTCAAGATTTTATTTATTTGAGAGAGAGGGAGAGAATGAATGGGGGGAGGGGACAAAGTGAGGAGAAGTAGACTCCCCACTGAGCAGGGAGAAAGACATGGGGCTCCATCCCAGGACCCTGGGATCATGACCTGACCCAAGGGCAGACGCTTAACCTACTGAGCCACCCACGTACTGCCTCGATTCCTAGTTTCTTTCCTAGAATCCATCCTTTCTTTACCTGTCACCATGAACCAAAAATTTTAAAATGGCCCTAGTGAGAGGAAAACATAATGACTGAAGATTTCTCAATAATCTGTCTGAGTGTTGGGTTACTGGACATAGTGGATGATCCTCACACTGTGGACATGATAAAATAGTAGACTAGGCTTAGCAATGCCATTGTCATTGGGTCCAGGGGGTGCTCTGGCCAATGTCTAAGGCCCTCCCCTTCTGTCTCTGCTTCCTGCTTCCAGGCACACTATGATTTGGCCATCAATGTCGCTTTGCAATGGCTGGATCACTCAGAAGACTTAACTTGGCTCGAGTGGGAAAAAGTGTGAGTTGAAATGGTTTTTTCTTCTTCTTTTTCTTAATGTATGACTATGAGTAGCAATAGAGAAAGCTTCTGTCTGGCATCTTCCACCAGAGGCACTCTGATTTGAAAACACTGCAGGGTGAGTATCCCTCGCCAGCTATGCACCTGAAGAAACCTCACAGCTGTCAACATAGACGTGTTTACAGAGTTTGTGTCTCTGCCGATTGGTTTCTGTCCAATGATCTTTCTCACACATAATGTTGTATCTTAAATATGTAAGTGCTTTATTGTGCGTGTGCCATGATTTTTTAAAATGGTCAAAGGCTGCAGTCATTTTCAAAGAACTATCAAACACAATTTCTTAAACATTTAACTAGAAATATCCCTGAGCTGAGCTATTTGACCTACAACTGTTCGAATCCTTTCTGGGATTATCTGCTGGGCAGACTCACTCAGTTGGTAATGAGGCCAGGATTTAATAGCTTCATCTCAGAGGCCAGTTCCTTCTTCTGTTCCATCTCCTTAGAACACATACTTTGTCCTGGATAGCGGTATCAATTAAGGTTTAGTTGTAATAAGCAGAAAATCCAGCTTGAACAGACTTAAACACGCCCCCCAAATTGGAGGGGAGTAGGGATTTATTAACTTTATTTGAAAAGTCCAGGGGTAGGTCTACGTTAGGCATGGCTTGATTCAAAACTCAAATCATGTCATCAAGATTTGGACTATTTACTCTGTGTGGATTTTTTTTGTTTGTTTTGAGAGAGAGCATGCATGAGTGGGGTGAGAAGGGCAGAGGGGGAGAGAGAGAGAGAATCCCAAGCAGACTCCACACTCAGCACAGAGCCTGATGCAAGGCTCAGTCTCAGGACTCTATCTCAGGACCCTGAGATCCTGACCTGAGCTGAAATCAGGAGTCAGATGCTTAACCAACTGAGCCACACAATGATGGACATTGTTCTTAACTTTAGCCCATTTTATCACAATACTGAGACCATAGGAGAATAGATTAAGAAAAAAAAAATCGCAGAATTGTGTCTTCATTATGCCTGGGCCCCTAACTTGTCCAGAGGTGGAGGGTGGGGGGAATGGAGTACTCTGACTAGCTTAGTCCACTGTGTGTTTTCTACCCTTGGAATCTAGGGGTATTCTTGGCTTCCCTTAGGAGCAGATGAGCTTACAGTGGGTAAAGCAGTTCCCCCCAGCAGGAAGGGAGAGCTCTGCCACAAGAAGGGGAGGAGGATACAAGTTGGCAAAACCATGACTGTCCACCATAGTGGTCAATGTTCCAGAGCTGTGAAAAGATGGATAGATGAAGGCAGATTTATCCCCCTTGTTGGAAGATTCAGAATTCAAAGTATGTACTTTACCGATGTCAGACTAAACACCTCAGGTTTGTAAACAAGTGCATAACACATGGCCCGTTGGAGATTAATGATGGATTATTATTATTGTCATAAGCTTACCAGGTGTCAAAAAGAACAAAAGTAAACCTTCCGCTGTTATCTATTGATATTCCCCTTAGGAAAATGCCATTTCATGACAGACCTGTATATCCAAACCGGAAAGAAAGAGAAGCAATGATTTTATCATCTTATGCTGGAATCCTAATGGTAAGGAAAAGAACACTATTTGAATATATGGAGATTTTATATTTATTATGTGCATTTTTATATTAATGCATATTTATTTTATTTTTCAACTGATCTTTCAAAATGCTGAGGATTTACTAATATTAAATGTTTCAGTTTTTAAGATATCATAAAAAGTCTTTGACTTCTATATGGTATTGTGAAAACATTTACTTAAAAGGCAAAAAACGGGTGCCTGGGTGGCTCAGTCGTTAAGCGTCTGCCTTATGCTCAGGTCATGATCCCAGGATCCTGGGGTCAAACCCCGCATCAGGCTCTCTGCTAGGCGGGAAGCCTGCTTCTCCCTCTCCAACTCCCTCTGCTGTGTTCCCTCTCTCACTGTGTCTCTCTCTGTCAAATAAATAAATAAAATCTTTAAAAAATAAAATAAAATAAAATAAAAGGCAAAAAAAAAACAGAATGAAAGACATACATAGTTAGATACTAGAGACTCTGATTTATCCATTTGTTCAGAAGTTATTTATTAATGCCCATGCTATCCAGGCATGATACTAGACATACCAGAGGTATAATTACTTCGTTTTGTAATGTAAAAAAAAAACCATGATATGATAATGCATTTGTTGGTGCTATTTTTTGTTGTTGTTGTTTGTTTGTTTGTTTTAGCAGAACAGTATCCCAATTGAGGAAGTCTTTAAAATGTACGGAGCTGATTTTTCTACCAATTCTAGGGCTACAAAGGTAGGAGAGATCCAAGACTATCAATAAAAGGAATTTTTAGAGAAAATGTATTTTATAAATTTATAATGTATTTTTAACCTTTACAACTGCATGAAACAACAGTTTTTTAATCAAAATATGCAAAACCAGATGTAGCCCTATCTCACTTGAAAAACAAATCTTTGTAAAAGGATTTCCCTACGTGAGGGCAGTGGTAGGAATAACAACCATATTTTTTTTTATTAAATTTTATTTTTTTAAAACATATAATGTATTTTTATCCCCAGGGGTACAGGTCTGTGAATCGCCAGGTTTACACATTTCACAGCACTCACCATAGCACATACCCTCCCCAGTGTCCATAACCCCACCCCCCTCTCCCAACCCCCCTCCCCCCATCAACCCTCAGTTTAACAACCATATTTTGCATAAGGCTGAGTAGACAGTAAATAGGGCACCAGGCTTAGAGTCTAGAATCTGCCTCTGTTTCTGAGAAACAGAATTTCTCACTTACACATTTTGTAATGTAGGTTTGGCAAGTCCAAGCGCTCCTCTTGCATGATGTACTAGAACATTTAGCACTAGGACAAGACCTGCAAGGGTCAATCTTGTGACAAATTCTGTAGCTCGCTGCTGCCACCCTTCTCCTTCCCGTGACAGTCCCTTAAATCACAGCAGTAGAAGCAGCAACTATCAGAAGTCCAATGACATGAGTTCCACCGAGTCCTAAGTCCTTTTCCCTCTTTAAGTTTCCATATACTAATCTAAAAAAAAATTTTTTTATTTAGTATTCTGAATGATCTTTACAGCCAGCTCAGTTTTGCTATTTATGGACTTACGCATATTAGGTAAACATTAAATACAGGCTAGTATTTAGAGGTGAACTTCCAATCAGTTTACCTTTAGGTACCTCTAGAAAAGGGAAGAGGAAAGCGGGGTAGAGCAGGAGTGGTGTGCAGGGAGGAAAGAGAGAGAATCCATACCCTCATACCCAGCCTTCTGCTCACACTGTCACTTTCGATGTCCTACCACAACTTGGCAGGAGGGCCAGAGCAGGGGCAGGGCTATGACCACAGAAATGCCTGCCACCCTTGTTCTTTTACCCGTAGACCATATAGTGACCAGCGGGGTCATATAAAATCAAGAGGTCACCAGGTCAAGGTTAAGAGTCAGGCATTTACAAGAAGTGTTGAAACTTTGAATCCAACTGTCTCATCACCTTAATCCTTATGCAAGCTGGCTCTCGTCCTGAGACTCAAGGTCCCTTAAACAGAAAGGACATCAGCACCTTTCCTCAGATCACCCTAGTTTCAACCTTATTCATGCATTCAATACAGTTATAGGTGCAGGGGATATAATGGTGAGCAAGTCAGACAAGATAACTTTTCTAGTGGGTCTTCTATCTTATGCTGGAGCTGACATTCTGCCTTAGTTGAGATATAAGCCACCCCGGGCCCAGCGCTCCTCAGATACCAAGCTGTCTTTGGCTTTTAAAGAAAGCCCAGATCTTTTAGTTCCTTAGATAGCAAGCAAACCATAATGCTTCATTCCTGCTGGTTTTTTCTGCAGCTTTCTCCCTTCCAGACTGCCCTCTTTCCACCTTCCCACAACCCTCCCCCAAAACATATACACATAAATATTTCAGACCAACCCCTTCTGGTTCAGCCATTGTGTTTTTCCACATCTTTTGGTGCCTGGGAATGACTAGGGCAGGCATCTGGCACTGACTGGTTGGCCTGAATTTACCTGGTCAAAGGACAAATATGGAAAATCACATCCTGGTGGCAGGGCGGTGGGGGGGGGGGTGGCCCTATGAACACTTCAAGTCTTGGTTGGGTTCTCAATCAAGAAGGTTTGCAAACATGGGTGTCCAAGTAGCTCAGGCCATGTAATCAAGTAGCCAAGTTCATTTTAAAGGACCATTAGAGGAAGCCATGCTGTTTAGAGGTGGGCTGGCCAGTTTCTGTCCATCCATCAGTCTTTCACTTATCCAGTAAAGAGACTTTATTCAGCACATTCCCTGTTTGGTTATGCACAGTCTCTATTCTCACATCGCTGACCAAAACCAAAAAGCCCAGATGTGCACACGGACTACATGATGACCAGCTCCAAAGGGAAGTAGATAATATGGTCATGGAGGGAGCTTTCCTTCAAATATCTGCGTTTGTACATTGTTATAGGACATGACCATCAGCTCATTTATTGGTTTGTATCTGGAAAGCAGCATGGGGTAAGGGTTCAACATGAGGTTTCTGAAGGCGGGCTGCCTGGCTTCGAACCAACTCTGAGCAGGGGAATCCTGAGCAAGTCTTCTAAATTCCCCCACCCTTGATTTCATCATAAAAACAGGGACCAGAAAATGGGATTGTTGTGGGAAATGAGGTGAATTAGTACCAGTATAGCGCTTCGTGGTTGGCACATGGTAACATCAAAACAGTAACTATAGTTAAAGTTCTGGTACTTGGGATTTGAATATCTGATTTCCTCTATATTCCCATAAATCAAGGTTTTTTTCAGCATTTCAGTCCAGATAATTCTTTGGTTGTGTGTGGGGGTGGAGCCAGGGGCTGTCCTGGGCTTTGTGGGATGTTTAGCAACATCACTGGTCTCTGCCCTTTAGATGCCAATAGCTTCCCTCGCAGTGTGACAACCAAAAACGTCTCTCAACTTTGCCAAATGTCCCTTAAGAAGCAAAATTACAGCTGGTTGATAACCACTGCCTTAAATAATTAAATTGCTCATCAAGTGTCCTTATATATCACCAACATAATATAAGCTCTGCCTTTAGACACCGAACTATCACAAAGGGTACGATACCATTTGAGCTACAAATGCAAGAGCCTAAGCATCATCTACCCGTGTGGACCTCATGAGTCTTCAAGAATGCCAGCCCAGGCCTTTCTATTGAGGCAAAGCATCTGCTCAATTTAGGGACCCCCTCCACATCTTAGACAAGAAATTAGTAGAACCTCTCAATGGAAATGTAGCCTTTCAAAGACTAAATTGTAAGAGCTATTTTAAAACAGTCTTTCAAAGTTTAAGATAATTTCAAAAAACTGTTTTAACCAGAAGATGAGGTTATTCAAAAGATGTTATTGACAAAGATTCTTCTCTAATTTCTGCATATATCTGAATGAACTTTGATTCCTTTGGAGAAAATGGCTCCTAAGCAACAGCTAAAATCCTCTCCAAGCAACAGCTTAAAGCCCTGCAGAATACTAATTAGATTATGGAGAAGTTCTGGCCACTAGAATTGGCTACACGATCGAATACAGAATACGGGTTGTGTAGACTTGATGGCTTTCAACGGGAGTATTTGCTGCCACCTGGTGACAGAAAGGCATCATGGGCCCAGTGTTGCTCTCTAACTGTATTACTCAAAGGTTCTACTCCTGATAGGGAGCTATTATTTGATGAGCCATTTTTCTGCTCAGGACCCTGGACCTATAGAAAGAAAAAAAAAAAATCAACCAAGGGTCTCACAAGAGAGACGGTGTTTACAATTCGCTTCAGATAAATATAAAATAGCTGAAGAAAAAGAGCATAAATCTGCCCTCCACATGGCAAGCAAGCAATAAAAATATTCGTCAGTTCCATTTGTCAAAGAGGAAAAAGGGAAAGGGAAGCAGAGAGAGTAAAAACTAGTGTAACCGAGAGAGGAGAAAGACAAAGGAGAAGTGGCTGGAGACCATCAGAACGTCTACTCCTCTCCTGCTGCAGCCACACCCCAAAGTCCGACTGGCCATCATTTAGCTCCATCCCAACTCCAAGGCAGGCTCTTCAGAGGCAGACAGATTAATGTCCGGTCCCAGCTCCACCACTTGCTAGCTGTGTGGCCTTGGATACGTTATTTAACTTGTCTGGTTCCCAATTTCCCTATGTGTAAATACGCATGATTACACTTAGCAAACTGGACTGGGTCCTTCTGATCATTCAGTGAGACTGCACGTGTCAGGTGCCTGATGCTGGCCTAGGGCGGGGAGCCTTCAACATCAGTGATATTATTTCCGAACCCACCCCCACGCCCGTCTCCCATCCACAGGAGTCCACTGACAGCAGCCGGGTCTCGCTGAAGCAGGCCCATCGTCCCCCCTCACACCCTCTACAGCCCTGGTCTCCAGGAACTTACTGCAATAAGCTACCAAGTGTCTTCTCTTCTTGGAGGAGGCTGACCGAGCCTGAAGGGTAGAGAAATGAGAAAGCATTTCCATTGTAAGGAGAGGGACCCAATAGGTTGAAACAAAAGTTCAGTATTGGCAGATCTTCATGATGGGAGATGGAAAACCATGCTTTCGAAATCCATTCTGTCCCAACGAACACTTACAATATATGTTTAAAGTACAAAACCAAGCAAACAACAAATCCACCAAAGGGATGAAATGGAACAGTATCAACAGTCTCCTCTCCAACCTCTCCCCTTCCTGCTGCTCACATTTATACTATCCGCAGTCATGGGTTTATCATTTCCTTGTCTTTTTTTCTAGCTTTACCACATACTCTTGTCTCACCAACATACTGTTCAGTTTTGCATGTTCTTTGAACTTGATACAAGTAATATGAACGGCAATCTTTATAAATGAAGCAAACGTTTTACTCCATGCCTTTCTTTTGTCATTCAACACTACATCGCACAAATTCATCCTTGTGGTTAATATAGTTTATTTTGACTGTAGGTAGCGTTCCGCTGTAAGAGTACACCACAATGTCTTTATATATTCTTCCGTTTTAGACATCTGGATGATTTCTGTTGTATATCTCTTCATGTCCAGTAAAAGAGTTTCTCTGTGGCCGAGGTGTGAAACTGCGCCATCATTACGTCAGAGATGTCACGCCCGTGCCATCAGACACATGTGCATCATCTCCAGTTCTACATAAAGCCAAACCGTTTTCTAAAATGGTCGCACCAATGTACACTTTCGCTTGCCATGAGCTTATCTGCCTGCTACCAACACCTGCTATTTTCAAGCTTCTTAAGTTTATCAGTCTGTTAGGTGGCCACAGTCTTAATCACATTCCTCTGATTACCAATGAATAACTATTTCTCTGTTTTTCTTCTGTGAAGTGCCTGCTAAAGTCTTCTGTCCATTTTTGTCGTTGTTGAGTCTGTCAGTCTTTCTTTCTTTCTTCTCTTTTTCTTCTTCTTCTCCTTTTCCTTCTTCTTTTTTTAATTTCCACAGAGCCTCAATTTTTTAAAAAGCTGCTACAGGATATAATCAATCAATTCCTAGATTTGCCAGTACTCTTCCTATTTGAAATTTGTCCTCTCTCTTCACAAACATTAACATGTTTAGAAAATATGATGTGGCACCATCCCAACCACATTTGAAAAACTTCTTGGACAGTACAAGCTATCTTTCCAGACCATGTGCCCTGCTTTTGCTTTGGAAAATAGGATTGTCATGAGCATATGTTCAATTGCTTTGACATTGGTGGAAAATTTGAAATTCTCCACCTTCTGTCTCAGTGATACCAAATGACATTTTAATAAGTTACTGCTCAGGCTGAAAGGCAGATAAAAATTACTGGCTATGCTCTTCAAGTCTTGGGGTGCCTGGGGGGCTCCATTGGTTAAGCATCTGCTTTCAGCTCAGGTCATGATCCCAGGGTCCTGGGATCAAGCCCCGCGTGAATCGGGCTCCTTGCTCAGCAAGGAGTCTGCTTCTTCCTCTCCTTCTGTCCCTCTCCCCACTCATGCTCTCTCAAATAGAAAAAGAAATCTATACCTTCATCCCTCAATGATGTACCCAGGTCATTTCTTGTGCAAGTTCCTATATGACACATCCCCATCTTCTTCTCTCTCTCTTCCCACCTCCAGTTAGAAGAAATTTTTGTTGAATGGCTTTGGACATAATTTGGCACTTAATATGAATCAAGAAATAACAATTGTAATAATCTCTATTGACACAAAGATGGTATTAGTAAGTAGCTTTAAAGTAAAAAAAGAATGTATGATCAACTCTAGGTTTAGGATTTTATTTTCATCCTATTTTGAGAATAATATCTCATATATACCACACAGGAAGCTATAGGAAGTTCTTGCATGAGCCATCAGATTATTAGGACTCACAGAATATTTGAGTTGGATATGACCTTTGAAATCATCGGGTTCTATCTTCCCCAGGAGATAAGGAACCAGAGTGTCTGTAAATATAAAGCTTGAATCTCTCTCAGCGAGAAAACAGAAAATGATTGATCTTGAAGAGGGATGCTAATTACTTCAGGCCTCCTGGCTCTGATTAGTCATTTGTTATTAGTTATCTGATTGGTTATTTCCAAGCAGGATCCTGTAAAGGAAATGGTGCCCAAGTTGTTCCACGGGTCATTCTACACAAGAGAGGGAGGTGAGGCAGGGATGAAGATGATGATGATGGTGATGATGATGATGACAAATATCAATAATTATTATTATCAAAAAATAATTATTATTATCATTAATTTTTAAATATTATACTATATGCCAACCACTATTCCAAATACTTTACATATGCTAACTTTAATTCCTACCACAGCCCTATAAGGTCATTACCAGTATTATTATTATCACATGAAGAAACAGGCACAGAGGAGTTAGGTGACATGCCCAAGGTCACACATCTGATAGATAGATGGTGCAGCTTGTGCTCACATACAGCCTGTTTGACACTAAAGTCTATGCTGTTAACCACTATTGCTTGACTAGGATGGTAGTCATTCAACTAGTCAATGACACCTGAGGCCCTCCTATGTACTAGGCACTCTCTAATGCACTGGAGAGAGAAGGTTCAATTAGCTAACTGAGCTCCTTACTTCCACACTCCAACCCATTCTCTACAGAGCAGCCAGAGCAATCTTTTAAGAACCTAAATCAGACCTTGTCACACCACGGCTTAAAAATATTGCAATGGCTTCCACTGAGTCCTGGAATAAAGTAGAGCTCTGTACCATGGCCAACAAGGGCTCAGATGATCTGGCCGCCCCCTCCCTCTCAGCCCATCTATAATTTCACCTTTCTTGCTCTGTTCTAGCCACCCTGGCTTCCTTTCTGTGTCTGGAAACACAGGTTATTCCAAAAAGACCTTCTTGTTCTCTCTGCCTAGAGCACTCATCTCCAGCTCTTCCCCTAACCGGCGGCTGCTCAGCGGAAATCTCAGCGGATGCACTGCTTCTTTCTAGAGGCTTTCTCTGACTGTGTGCAGTGGTGGCTATCCAGCACTTGCGAGCACACCATCTTCTTTTGTTTATTAAACTTACCACAATGCATGATTTATCGTTTGTGTTTCCTCACTCGGCTCCAGAAGGGCAGGAGCCTTGTCTGTCTGAGTGACCACAGCTCCTGACACAGGGGTGCCCATAGAAGGTGCTCACTGAGAACTTGTCGAAGGAAGGCATGAATGAAGAGACAGTCCTAACCTTGAAGAAATTTCCAGTGTGGCAGACAATGGGTTATAACTAACCACAGCACACTGGAGTTGCTCTATGTGAGCACATGCTTTGAGTCCCCAGATGAGTGAATCTGTAATTCTGCCTTGAGGTAAGGTGGGGGTGCGGGGTACCAGCATAGGAGAGCAGGAGGGAGGCGTGGGGAGACATGGGGTAGGTTTCTCAGAAAAGGTGGTATTTGAGCTACATCTCAAAGGAGAAGTAGGAGCCTCTAGGCAGAAAAGGAGCAAATGGTTATCCCAGGTATAAGACAACACTATGGAGAGCAACAGTGAGTGAAAGGGCATTTTGGGCAAAGGGGACCAAGAGTGGGAACAAAAGACAAAATACAAACGTGTGCGCCGTGTGAAACGTGTGTCTTTCCGGCAGGTGCTTGGTGTTAAGGACCACGGGTTGGTTCAACCAACCAAGTGCTGTAAGTAGCAGGAGTTAACAGCACAGAGCATGTGCAGCTGTTACAAATAGGACTGTTTTCCTTTCAGGTTCCCCGAGCTCCACCTCTCCGCCTCTCCCTGCATCCCTTTGCCATGTTAACAGCGCCCCACGCAGCAGAATACGCCCGCAAACAGAGTGAGCCTCTTTACTTCCACCTGCGTAGGGAAATTTAACTAAGAATTAAACTCAGAAAGTAAGGTCAAAGTTGTTATGGCAATAATATTTCTCTGGCTGGCTGAATAAAGGAAAAACAAACCAGAAGGACTTAATTTCCCTTCAATATAGGGACCAGAGACGTCTTACTTCTCAGACCCTTTAGTGACGGGAGCAAGGCACTCTAGAAGGGACGGATCTAAAACTGTGGGTGGGCTTATTTAAAAAAAGGTTTTTTATATGCTCACGATTACCACATGTGTCTCCAGGTGTCAAGTTAAGAAGGGGAGCGACAAATAAAAATGCCACCAGCCGCTCTGCAAGGGAAGCGAATGCCACAGCATGGAAATCATCAAAAAATGTACCGTTGGACACCCAGCCAAGGAACAAAGTAGGTCTAAATAAGGAAACTGGACCAAACTGATACCAAGAGTTTGGAGAATACTTTACTGATATTGTGGTTAAAAGTCTAGCCTTTGGAGTTCGACACTATGGGTCTGAATCCAAATAAAGCCACTGCGTCCCAGCTGTGTGACTTCAGGCAGACTGTGTCACTTCTCTGTGCCTTAGTTTCCTCCTCTACAAAGTGGGAAATATAGAGGTACTTCCTCTCCAGGTTGTCAGGATAAATACCGGGGATTATGCTTTTTAAGAGATTAGGCGAGGGCTCGGTGCAGAGTAAAACCTAAATAAATGCGAACCATGATTATCTTTTAGCCTTTGAGATGTTCTATGCATCAGTTAATCAGATCTTATTCTTTGATTCAAGTAAGTGTGTCAAGGAGATTTACACAAATGTCTGTGTCCTAAAGGTTTCTCTTCGCAATCCCTTTCTCACTAATGAAATTTTATCCTTGCCTGCTTGCGTCTCTGCTGCTGCCGCCCTGGCCATCTGATTCCTGGCACATTTGTTCTGCAGAATTCAGAGAATGGCTAGGGATACCCAGGGCTGGAGACAAAGGAGAAAGGCAGGAGAGTTCTTGGCCCTTCCAGCCCTGGACTCTCTACTTTAATGTGCAAAGTGAAAAGGAAAATTAAAGAGACGTCAGGAGACCAAGTTAGTGAACACAATACAAGCTGAGAGGAGGGAGACTCAGATTAGTGGTACAGCTGGCCGGCTGGGGTATTTTAGGACTTTGTTGAATCAGAGGCTGTGGACCAGCTGCAGGGTTGTAAGGTAGGAAAGGGAAAAGGGAATTTTGAAACTTGCTACACTGGGTTATGGATTGCTCTTGCTTTTAGAAACACAAGTGAAAGTTAAACGCAAGTAAAAATCAAAATTTGTTACTATCTAGTTTGGTTGCTGTACTGTGCATTTCTTTAATGTGAATCTCTGAATAGACTGGACCATGTAAAGCCCAGGATTCATTCAGGTTTTAGAGGCAAACAGTCAACTGGTGAGAAATGTAACCTTATCATAGCAAATGCTTTAGGAACAACCTGAATTCTTTTTTCACATTTGGGTTTTAATAAATGTTATTCTAGTAACATAACAACACCACTATCAGAAAATCTTTACTATATTGTCAGGGCCCCTGAGTGGCTTGGTGGGTTAAGCCTCAGCCTCCAGCTTAGGTCATGATCTCAGGGTCCTGGGATCGAGTCCCGCATCAGGTTCTCTGCTCACCGGGGAGCTTGCTTCCCCCTCTCTCTCTGCCTGCCTCTCTGCCTACTTGTAATCTCTATCTTTCCCTATCAAATAAATATATAAAATTTTAAAAAAGGGGGGGATACCCATCTGTGCATCCCACGTACTGAAAATCCAGCTCTCAAGATGACTCATTGGTCTGTTTGTTTTGAAAATATAATTCCATTTGCTGTATATTTTCTCCCATAACCATTGAAGATTGTTGGCTTCTTGATGGAAGAGGGTCTTCTATTTCTTTATTATTTCCCACGTGTATATAAAGTGCTTTGCAAGCAGTGACTATTCAGTTATTGTGGTAGATAAGTGAATTGGCAGTAACTACATGGTCCTTAGGGCTCTCAACGCACTGGGCTCTGTCTAAACTGATTGAGAAGTTCATTTCTAGGGACCAGCCATTTCTATAGGCTAATCAATGCCTGTAAGCCTAGGCTGTCCAAAGAATAAATGTCCATTTTGCAATAGGGACAGGCCTTGAGATGAACCCTTCCCATAAAGTCCTCTTCTTGAAAACCAAACAGCAGAAAACACATCTATGATTTTTGTTCATTCTTTATCATTTGTGTGCTTTAGCATCTTTTCCAACTTCTAAGTCATGTATTTTTTTAAATTAGCTTAAAACATTATGATAGTAATACATGTTTATGGTAAAAATTTCAAACAATACAGGAAATATAAACTGAAAAAACAAAAGAATTCCCCCTTCCCCACACCCTGTATCACTGTTAATATCTCTTGGGATCTTCAAATATTTGCTATATATGTACATATAAATATATGTGCACGTGTCCTACTGATTTGTTAGAAAGTAATGAAAAATATTTTTATTAAATGTATGGAAAAGGGATGCTTGGGTGGCTCAGTTGGTTAAACATCCAACTCTTGGTTTAGGCTCAGGTCGTGATCTCATGGGTCATGAGATCAAGCTCCATATTGGGCTCCATGCTCAGTGGGGAGCCTGCTTGAAGATTCTCTTCCTCTGCCCCTCCCCCGACTTGCACACTCACACTTGCTCTTTCTCTAAAATAAATAAATCTTATATCTTATTTTCATTTTGTAAAGATTTTATTTCTTTATTAGAGAGAAAGAGAGAATAAGCACAAGCGGGTAGAGAGGCAGAGGAACAAAGGGAGAGGGAGAAGCAGACCCCCCACCGAGCAGGGAGCTCCACACGGGGTTCCACCGCAGGACCCTGGGATCATGACCTGAACTGAAGGAGATGCTTACCCGACTGAACCACCCAGGTGCACCTAAATAAATCCGTTATAAAAAGTATGGAAAATACGTTTTCACAGTGTATCGCTTGAAAAAGTTTTTCATTTTATGTATTTCAACTTCTGAGTTTTTTCCTTACCCATATGTTTATGGATATTGTATCACATCTTTTAGCTGGTAAACAACTTTTTTCAACCTCAAGATAAAACAATGGCTCATTCAGAATTTTTTATTTATTTCCAGCCACAGAAATACTTCATCAAGTAAAGGAAAGGGAGAATTTTTTTTTTTTAATAATCCAGGCATTTGGTGAAATAGTTTTCAGGATTTCTTTTGTACTGTATTGATACTAGTAATCCATTTATTAGTCAAAATGAATATGGGCAACACCATATCCCAGGAAAGTGTTGATACTGGGCACATTACCAGGAAATGGATTCCAAATGGACAGGGCCATACCAAAGAGCTAGAAAACAGATACCCTGGTAAAAAGAGTGCAGACTTGGGAGTCACACAGCCCAGAGTTAACTCTTGGTTCTCCCATTTAATAACTGTCATGAATTGTTAAGTGAATCTCTCTGCTTCCGTTTCTCATCTATAAAAAAAGGATTCTAACAGTACCTATCTCATAAGGTTGTTACAAGGACCAAATGAGCTAACCTATATGGAACAGCTTAGAAAAGAACTAGGACCATGGCTAAAAATAATACAAGTGCTCCCTTGACTACCCTCCTGACAAAGTCACAGTATCGTGGACTGGAACAAGACACAGAGAGAGAGCAATTTGAGAGATTCTGGTTTCCAGTCCCATGGGCAAAGAATTTAGAAACTGCCACTTATCCTAGCAAGTAAAAAGTTGAACAGGGTGAGAAAACAACTCCTCTTGGATCTGTAAGACAGGGGACAAAGGGCAAAGCTCTATCCCCCCAAGGTTGGAGAGACAGGCAGATATAGGGAGTTAGGGTTTTCCAGAGCAAAGTCTCACAAGTAGAAGCTGCTACGAATACAGCACTGGAGTAGGAAACCCCAACAGCAATTGGCAAATCACAGGAACCTCAGTGCAGACATCTCAGAGGGTTAAATACTCCAGACTCCAGGGGGGACCCAGTCCTAGCAGGATACCCACAATTTTGTGAGATTTACCTGCAGGAGCTCTGCCAGGTCCTCACAGTAAATATTGGAGAAAATTCCTTTCACTTTTCCAGCAGTGAGGGTAGGGGTGGAAGTGGAAGGTGGGGGGAGGAATCATTTTTAAATACAACAGAGAATTCTGTTCTTAAAAGGCCTGCACTTAGTGACAACCAGTTAACTATAGCCTAGCCTGTTGACATTTTATTGGAACCCAACCCACCTAGAAGAAGGGAAATACCCATTCCAGTCAGCTCTAGTAATCTGGTCCCAGCTGGAGAAGAAGAAAAATTGAGAAACACTTGTGAATTTCCAAGTCCAGAGGCACAGGCTCACCAAAGACTGAGATCTAATCACAGGACTACAGAACCCTTCCCCTCCTCCCTCACCAGTCCCCCATCACATCACTAAAGACCTATTTAGAGAGTTCATTTTACCCAGGACATTATGTCTAGCTATCAAGAAAGAATTACAAGGCATACTAAAATGCGTAAAACATAATTTAAAGAGAAGAGCAAGCATTGCAAACAGACAGGACAGGGATGTTGGCACTATCAGACCAGGAATTTGAAACAAATCTGATTTATTACACTAAGAGTGTTCAGAGTGCTAATGGATAAAGTAGCATGCAAGACTAGATGGACAATGTAAGTAGAGAGAAAGAAATCCAAACTGTAACTACAGAATCCAGATGGTGGGCACATGTACCTTCATTGTACAAATATTTCAACATTTCTATATGAAAATTTTCATAATGAAATTATGAAGAAGAAAAGAAAAAAGGAATTCTCAGAGTGGATCAAAACACAAGACCTGATTATATGTCATCTATAAGGCACCTACTTCAAATTTAAAGATACATATGGATTAAAGGTAAATGGATAGATAAATTTTGATTCACACCAGCCCAAATCAAAAGCAAGGAAAAGGTTTACTAATTTCTGACAGAGCTGACTTCAAAGCAAGAAAAATGATCAGGGATAAAGAAAGACAATTGATAAAGGGGTCGATTCTCCAAGAAGACATACAAACTTTAACATGTGTGTACTGGACAACAGAACATCAAATTACATGAGGTAAAAATGGTTAGGACTGCAAGGACTGGTTCCACTATCATAGCTGGAGAGTTCAGCACCCCTCTATCAGAAATGGAAGGAGGACGATGCAAGTTTAAATTCAAAGCAATATATAACATTTCAAACTAATATGGCATAAGCACAATACACAACTGCTCAGGGGCAAAAAGAAATGATTAGCTGTGGATATGGTTAGTCAAAAGAAGTATAACTTTTATTATTTGCTTTTGTATTTGGAAATAGTTTTGAATTTGGAGGAGAGTTGCAAGAATAGCAAAGAGTCCTAGTACACCTTTTACTCAGAATCACCAATAGTTAGCGTTTTGCTCCATTAGCATCACCATTTTTTCTGCCTCTGTCCCTCTTTCTGTCTTTCTGTATATAGATACATTTTTTTTTCTGAGCCATCCAAATTATATCCTCCCTATCACTATACCCCTGTATACTTCAGTGTGTATTTCCGGAGAACAAAGTCATTCTTTAAATAACCTTAATATAATGATCAACTTCAGAAAATCGAACACTGATACTTTTATTCGAACTACCATCTATGTACCAATTTTTCCAATTGACCCAATAATGTCCTTTGTTAAACATTTTTTCTTTCTGTAGAGGATGCAGTGTGAGATCATATACTGTATGTAGTTGAGAAATACAACTCAATTTCCAAACCTCTCAGAACAATTCCATGGAAGTTCTTTTGTACCTACACGTTTTTTAATCCACCTTTGCCAGTAATTTAGTATTTGATATTCAACCTTAAGTCTCTATAGAGTGAAAGTTAATGTCTGTGTGCATGTTAAATTGACGGGCTTGACACCAAAATGTTTTATTTTGTTTGTTTGTTTGTTTGTTTTGTCCTGCAGGTCACTTAGAAACTTGGAACTGCACCATGGAAGTTCATAATAAAGCCTCTGGGAGAGGAAAAGAAACATCCTAACACTGCAACTCTTGCCAGCACATTTTTCTTCATAGTCAGCTTGTGGTACAAAACTTATTAAAGTGTTACTTTGGATGTTGGGCTTTCTTCTCTTAGAATCCCATTGTGTGGCTATATTGTGTTGTTGTTGTTGTTAAGTGTATATCCTATGCTGCTTTATTGTAACCGGAAGACTGCTGGTTGGAGAATTTTGAGACTATGTAGTATTTCTGTGTCAGAGCAGACTGGCTCTGCAGCACATTTCACAAATGTTTAGCACTGAATACTGCAGAGTGGAGGACTTGGAGGTAGTTTCCCGAAGTTTCGATCTGAAATAAAATGAATCTGTCATCCATTGCCCTTCCTATGTTCTCACATGGAAAATTTAAAATCATTTCAATAAAGCATTAAAGGAAACATGAGCACAGGCTTTCTTTCAGGAGATATAAGGACTCTTAGGAAAATGAAAATGTGCTAGTCTTTCAGCACTTTCCAAAATGCTGATTAGGCAGGTGGTTTGGCTGTAAATATACACAGCAACAATTCGACCAAATGAATGTGAGTACAGATGACGCCTCTCTTAAGGTTTCACTGGGCCACCTGTCTGCAGAACAGTTGTCTTCAACACATGCAAAATCAAGTGTTTGGTTTGTTGGCTTTCGCTGGAAATGGTGGTGCACCCTGATGTGGCGTTGTGGTTGGGGAGACCGATGACGCTTTTTCCACATGGGTTTGGTTATGACCGTAACGTAGGTTTACCGGGAGGCCTGCAGCACTAGGAGGGAGGAAGGGGATGTATCAGTGACTTGTGACTTGACCCTGGGTATGCTGTCTAGCAGCATAGGACTTTGCCCAGTTTCCTGTGCTCTAGCTCTGCTAATTGGGAGGGAACGTTTTTTTCTTTGTGGCTACTGCTGTCTGTCCTTTTGACAGCTGTACACCAGCTTCATATGCTGCCCAACGACTTTCACAAATGGCATCATGAACACTTAGTGATAGCTGTGGCTGGGTACCCTTTCAGGGCCGTCTTTGGGTCACAAACTATGATGGTGTTTGACTCCATCCTTCTACGTACACTTGGATGACAAAGATGAGCTGGGGAATGAAGGCCTCCCGCAGCCCTGTGTAGCTGAGGAATGCTTGGAAATCAGTAGGATAGCCTCAGTGGAGAAAGCTCCTCAGGCCATCACTTGGGCTCTGTGAAACAGTAATGCTCCAGGAAGGGAAAACTCAGGCAAATCATGATGCTGGTTTTGAAAACAAAAAGCAGCCCTAGGGTGCCTGGGTGGCTCAGTGGGTTAAGCCTCTGCCTTCGGCTCAGGTCATGATCTCAGGGTCCTGGGATCGAGTCCCGCATCGGGCTCTCTGCTTGGCAGGGAGTCTGCTTCCTCCTCTCTCTCTGCCTACTTCTGATCTCTCTCTGTCAAATAAATAAATAAAATCTTAAAAAAAAAAAAAAAAGCAGCCCCAGGAGACAGATGGTGGGAGAGGGAGGAATGGGAGGATCCTGTATGTGATCTATAGTCTCACTGAGTCTTGGGAAATCTCTTTATTTTTAGTCCAAGGAGAAGCATTTAATCTCAAAACGAAATAGACTCATTTTCAAAATGTATTGCTTTTCACCAGGAACTCAGAGTTATGCATTTACAAATTGAGTTTATTTTTCATCTCATGAAAGTACTATATATTTATGGTCGAAAATTAAGGCAATCAAAAACGACAAAAAGGAGAAATAAAAACATAAAACAAGGACCTATAATCCTGCCATTTATGGATAACCGTGACTGACATTTTGGTATATACATCCAACGTTCTAATCTTTTCTTTTCCCCCTACATAAACATATACGAAATCCTTGTAGCAAAACCATATCACACTGAGGAGGTAATTTAGAAAATGTAATTGTCTTTCGATTAGAGGATTTTTCATCACGTCCTTCTGGGACTCATAGGATTGTCACGAGTCACCCCAGACGGAACCACCAACCCCATCTCAGCAGTTTCCATAGGCAAACACACAAAATGCTGGGAGCGTAATGCATTTCTAGAGTGCTGCATAGGATGAGAAGTGCGCCCTTTGTCTCCAAGGTCATAATGGCTCTGCTGACCTCAATTCCTTTCACTGGAGCTAGTGAGGAGAACTCGAAAATGCCAGAGAGAATGAGAGCCCCCAACCCCATGATCCCAAATGAAAAAAAGAGGGAGAACATAGAAATCCCCTCACGCACTACCCCCAGGCCCCTTTTGTGTTGTTCTTGCCAACGCAGCAGCCTCCTGCTATATATCCCCGCTGCCACTCTTGTCCCCATCACACCGGATGCTGTTCATCCGCTGCCAACCACAATGGGGAAGGTGAGCCTCCCGAGGGGTCGTGCTGCATCTGTTGAGTGTCTCCTGTGCTTGGGGGGCCTTCCCCGCTGACTCCTGGCCCTCCCCCCCGCCACCGCAGATCACCTTCTACGAGGACCGCGGCTTCCAGGGCCGCTGCTACGAGTGCAGCAGTGACCACCCCAACCTGCAGCCCTACTTCAGCCGCTGCAACTCGGTGCGCGTGGACAGCGGCTGCTGGATGCTCTATGAGCGCCCCAACTACCAGGGCCACCAGTACTTCCTGCGGCGCGGGGACTACCCGGACTACCAGCAGTGGATGGGCCTCAGCGACTCCATCCGCTCCTGCCGGGCCATTCCTTACGTGAGTCTTGCTTCCACCCAGACTGATGGGAAAGCATCACTGATCCGTGACCCTAAATTCCTATTGGTCAAAGTCAGTCTGTTTCAACTTAAGACTAGTTCACAGTAAGGATGGCAATTCCTGACTCTCAAGCATTTAGAAAAAAAAAAGTGAGCAGGCTTATGAAGAATCACTGTAACTTCTTTTTCCCTCTTACTTAAGGATTTAAGATTGTTTTCAGTGCGTAAGAAATCATGACATAGCCTCTGAAGTTAAATTTGGTAGCATCTAGCTGATTCCTACTTTCTAAATAAAAATCACCATGTTTGGAAAAGAAAAAAAAAATAAAACCTATCTAGGTCATTAGTTTTTAATGATAGGAACACTTAACAGACCACAGCAAAACAACTTAGGTGTAATGTGTTCTGACTGTAGTAGCAATTGCCTTCCACACAGTCTGTATGACATAAGGATCTAGAAACTAGGACAGTATGTCTCAGCTCCTAAGGGGCTCCCTGGTTCCCAGGAGTCATTATCAACTACTTTCTCACGAGGGTCAAAGACAGAGCATTCATTAATTAAGACTTCATGGGATACGGTCCTCATCAAAGTGTTGCTTAAGGTTTTTTAAACATGTTGAGTTTGTGTTTCTGGTTACTGGTGACACCCAATTATGTGGTATGACAAGCAGATTCAAGAAGTGAGACCAAAAGTTGGCTACAGAAATTTGCAGGTGCAAAAGGACATACAAATAAAACAGGAATTTCTTTGAGGCAAGAACTTTGAATGGTTCAAGTGACTTGGCAAAATGTCAGATATGTGGACACAGAGTAAATAGGAATTATAAATAAGTGCGAAGAGTGACTTAAAAACAACTTGTTAGGACTCGGTTATGTGCCGTCATAGTGGAAAAGACAGTTAAAATCCTCTCTGCCGACTCACTAAATATCGTGGCCAGTGGCTTCCTACAAAGCAATCCCTTCTGTTCCCTTTATTTCAGTGGTTGTTTCTTCCACAAGATCAGGTCAGTTTTATTTTAACACTCTTCCTAATTTGTTAGACCAACCATGTGCGGAGAAGACACGCATACGGCCAGATGGTTTGAAAACCATGCTTCCTGAAGATGCAGGTTACTAAGTCACTTTTACTGAGATCAGAGATCCATAGAATTGATTTTTCTTCTTTTGTTTACTGTCACAACAGACCAGTTCCCACAGGATAAGGCTGTACGAGAGAGATGACTACGGGGGCCTGGTGTCTGAACTCACGGAAGACTGCTCCTGCATCCACGATCGCTTCCAGCTCAATGAGCTCCACTCCCTCCATGTGCTGGAGGGCTGCTGGGTCCTCTACGAGATGCCCAACTACCGGGGATGACAGTACCTCCTGAAACCGGGGGACTACAGGCGCTACCACGACTGGGGGGCCATGGACGCCCGAGTGGGCTCTCTGAGACGGGTCATTGATTTGTACTAGGCTGTGTCTTTCTTGTTATGATTCACACAAAAATGCAATAAATATACAAATTGTATTCTTGGCACTAAGTGACTCTTGTTTATCTTTAAATAATCACTGGCTTGTAATAATTGGTGACCCCTGGCAACTTACATGACCCTGAAGGTCACGTGTTTTGAATGTCTACTTACTTCCTGTTGGTCAGACAACAGTATTCCTTAAGCCCCCACTCATGTCATGAGGAGTCTGACTCTACAACCCATAATCTGAGAAAGAGAAGAAAGGCAAAGGGAAGGAAAAACTATTAGACCCCATATAAAGGAGAAAACATAGAATGAATTGAGGCTAGGACGCCAAAGTCAACAATTTGCGGAGAGGTTAGAGCAGCTTAAGTCTCAGATTAGTCAAGAAAAGCTGAGTGAAGAGAGATGTTTTAAGCAGAATTCCCAAGGTAGAGAAGGTCAATCGTGCTTGATGAGTTCAGCTGGTAAGAGAAGTTTTAAAGTAAGCGTTAAAGGGCCTGAGTTGGCACCTTACTTTTGGCTAATTACTAGTAACAGGTGCAACTCGGATTAGTATTTTAGGGACTTTCCCGGTTTCAGCACGGAAAGTCCTATGTCCTGGAAAGCCCCTCAGTCTTAGGTAAACTGGGGTGTTTTGTTCCTCTACTTACCGATTACTTCTTTGATCAAGTCATTTCTTATCCTCTCTGTGCCTAAATTACCTTATTCAAGACTATAGGTGGATAAGAAATTCCTGCTTCACTAAATCCCAGGATAATTATGATGAAAAAATAAGGAAAGACTGTGAACACATTTTGTTATTTTACATTATTACACAAATGTAAATGTAGAAAATTCATGTATCCCCAGTGTCTGCTCAAATTCAAGAGTACAATACGGTCATCTTTATTTTGGACTCCAATATGAATTTCTGTCAAGACTCTATTACAGGGTGCCAGGGTAACTCAGGTGATTAAGTGTCTGCCTTCAGCTTAGATCATGATCCTGGGGTCCTGGGATTGAGCCCCATATCGCGCTCCCTGCTCAGTGGGGAGTCTGCTTCTTCCTCTCCCTTTGTTCTCCCCCATATTCATGCTCTCTCTCTCACTCTCTCTTATTAAATGAATAAAATATTTTTTTAAAAAGACTCATTTACACACATCATGTAAGGAGTACATGAATCACTGAACTCTACCTCTGAAACTAATAATACACTATATGTTAATTGATTGAATTTAAATTTTTTAAAAAGACTAAATTACACAGAGTTAAGTATTAATATTTACTCGGCTGTGTACCTCTGGAATTTCTTTCCACTATAGTAAAGCTGCTCTCCCAGAATGCTAATTCTCTTTCCAAATTTATATGAGCAAAAATAGTGCCCTGTCCCAGTTAACTTCTTTGTCAAAA